GAGAGAGAGAGAGAGAGAGAGAGAGAGAGAGAGAGAGAGAGAGAGAGAAGAGTGGAGTTTTGTTAATGCTTTGGGGCAGGTTAACCTCATAGACCTTACATATGAAAAATATAGAAACAATGGTTGCTTAAGTCAAAACCAACAGAGAAAAAAGAAAAATAATAATATGTGAATGATATCTAAAAAATAGCAGAGAAAACTATAAAAATGATCCGTGCTTGCTAACATCAGAGGTAATATTAATAGAAATAACAGCGATCACCCGTAACTCAATCAGAGCGAAGGAGATAAGCACAAAAATACCAGTCGCAAGATCGCAAACGCAATAGCGGGACATGAACCGCAAAGTTTCAGAACACAGTAAGTTGCAAGACGATAATAGACGTTAATGATAGACGCAACAAGAATCAGAAAGAGAGAGAGCGAGAAAGAGAACAAACACGCGCAATTCTCGCCGCTTGACTTCGCAAATTTTTGGCCGGGCCACTTTGCGGAAGCGCGCGTTAAATGTAACGATTTGGGCATATAACGTTGGGAAATTTCGAGCTTACGTAAGGGGCGAACGCGTGGCCCTCTTCTGCGTCTTTGACTCCGCGACAAACTATTGTAAATGAGCGTATAATTACGTGCGCCCGTCGCGCGACAATTTATAAATATTTTGCTGCCGCGCTTGTATGCGTCACGCTGCAGCAGGTAACGCGAATAGTCCATCATCTCCGAGTGGTATTAGTGTTAATCAGAGGATATTGTTTGAGATAACCGCAAACGCGTCCCGTTTTTCCCAGTTTTTTCACCCTCTGTTCTGGATTTTTTTCGAATGCTATCCGGGACGTCGATTTGTTTCAGATTCGACCCAATTACCCCGATTTAGAGGATTTTTAAACTGCTTTTGACAGAGAGAAAGACCTTCTCAAGAAGATTCTTCAGGTCTGGTAGCTACGTTTCTTCTGAATTTTTAGTAAGAATATATCTTATCAATATCAATCTTAGCAATAGTCCACTTATATTTTTACTGTATGTATCAGATCTTCATTGTTATTAAATTATTTTTCATGTTTGTAAATAAAATATCGTTTTATATATATATAATTTTCAGTAATTTTCCTCCCTCCCCGCACTCCACACATTTATGAAGTGTTCCGGATATTGGGCTGAAAAATCTAGTTTCACCTTATGTTATTATGTTCCTTTAATATCGTCGTATCGCGACGTGGAGATGTGCGACGGATATTTGTGGGCCGCATTTTGCCAACTTTGTCAACACGCGGATCGCAGAAATTCCTCGGGAGATTTCGCAAGGCAAACAATTGCGCTCGCTGTTCCTTTATATTGGCGTTTCGTCGTGAATTATCGATATCTCAAATGCCAATGCACCGCCAGTCTTGAAAATATTTTGATTTCCTCGTTGACGTTCGAAAGAAAAAAGGACAGAAAAAAGAAAGAAAAAAGAACAAAAAGAAAAAAAGAAAAATACCGATAGCAATCGGTATCGTGGCAGATTATCCTTCAGACTGCAAAAGATTCGTATCGGCGATTGAGGGTATTCCTACTGGCGATAATAGCAGTCATGCAAGACTCGTGATTTGATCAATGAAAGATGATTTCACGACACACTTATCTTTGCGATATTGTGAGTGTGATAGTAAAAATAGACTCGAGATATCCTATCGACCCTGTCAGATGTTCTATTTGTCGTTCTTACAAGCGATTTGACCTAAAATCGCCAAACCAGACTTTACGAGCCTCTTGGTTATAACGTCCAAAAGAATAACTCTAATTGCAAGGTGATATTTACTGTGGTACCATATTTTTAGCGAGAACTTTTGCCAAAAAAGTACTTTTTCTCTAATGAAGTGAACTATTAATCGAAAAGCTG